ATACTTAGCAATAAAAGTAAAAGCAATAAAAAAACAATTGAAGGTTCTGGCTTGCGTAGATTCTGACAGCTTGCCTGCTTGAAAAGTCCTCAGCGATGCATTAAATTAAAAAAATAGGAAATAGCCTGCATTATCTCGGGTGAGGGGCTGGATTGGATGACCTCTGAGGATCCCTTTCAACTGGTCCGTTCTCGGATTCGATGCTTTAGTCTGGATTCCTGCGTCGGGCAGGGGGTTGGGCTAGATGTCCTTCGAGGTCCCTTCCACGCCTGGCGTGTGATCCTATGCTTTAATGGGGTTCTGCCCTGGGCTGGGGAGTTGGACTAGATGACCCCCATGGTCCCTTCCGACGCTGGGCTTCCTTTCTGCAGACCCAACGCATTCTGCCTGGCCTTCTGGCTGCAGCGCATCCTTCGCTTCAGCTTTCTTGGCCAGAACCCACAAGTCCTGCCGGGGGGGCAGGATGGGGGGGCGCACCGGGCAGGGCAGGTGTCCCATTGTCCCTGCCTGTTTTTTATCACTGTCCCCTTCGGCGCCTCCATCCTCTCGCTCCGTCCCCCGTGCGGCTATCTGCAGCCGGGCACAATGGAGGCCGCCTCCGGAGAGCTGATTTACGGCGCTGCCCCCTTTGCCAAGCGATGCCCGGCTGTCAAGCTGGGGGGGGCATCTGGTGAATTGCACAGGGAGCCCTTATCACCGCCTCTGCAGCTGTCCATTGGAGCTGGCAGCGTTCAGATCCGGGCTGCTATCCTGCCGAGGGCCCCTAGGGGGCAGCAGCGGCTGGCATTTTTTCCCACGCCTTCCCACCCCCTAGTGGCCCTCGGCAGGATAGCAGCCCCAGGCGGGCAATTCTTACTGGGGAACTGACTTGCAAACTGGCTCGTTCCCACGTTTCCATCGAAAGCCACCTTGAATTGCTGTTTGTTTGTTTGTTTGTTTTAAGTTAAAATGCAGAGGTGAATTGTGGGGAGGGGGGGAGTCACTCTTCTGAGAGCAGGCCGTTGTTTGGGATTTAAAATTCAGCCACCAAACCTGGTCTGCACCAGAGCTCCAAAATGGGCCTCCCATCCCAGCTTACCTTTCCGGCACCACCTTTTGGAATTATTTTTATTTCTAAGGATTTCCACCGGACATAGACAAGGAAGATGCATTGGGTAGATTTTGCAGCAGGTCAGCCTCCCCCCCTCTTTTTTTTTCCAATTCAAAGAATCTGAAACCAACATTTGCTGGATTCACACACAACCAGGCCCTTGGATTTGATGTTTTGGTCCTAGAACGTTTGAAAGGGGGGCATTAGAGGTCATCTAGTTCAATCTCAAAGGATGACTTCCAGCCTCCCTTGAACTTCCTCCAAGGCAAGGAGGACCCACCACTTCCTACCACTTGGACGCTCTTCCTAATGTCCAGCTAAAATCTCCTTCCTTGTAATTTCATAGAATGGAAGAGCCCTCCTCCTCCTCCTCTTCCTCCTCCATCTTCTCCTTCTCCTTCTCCTGCTCCTCCTCCATCTTCTCCTTCTCTTCCTCCTCCATCTTCTCCTTCTCCTCTTCCTCTTCCTCTTCCATCTTCTCGTCCTCTTTCTGCTTCTCCTCCTCATCCTTCTCCTCCTTGAGATCATCTAGACCAGGGTTCCTCAACTTTGGTGACTTTAAGACAGGTGGACGTCAACTTCCAGAATTCCCCTTGCTGGCTGGGGAATTCTGGGAATTGGTCCACCCATCTTCAAGTTGCCAGGGTTGAGGAACCCTGATCTAGACCAACCCGTGCCCTGTGCAGGCATTGGAGTTATAATGCTGAATCACCGAACATGAGGGTTTGGAGGAAACTCTAATCCAGTCTTTTCAACCTTGGCCACTTTAAGCAATGCAATGATATCTAATGAAGGAACTATGATCTCTCTCATGGCTGTTAAGATAATTGCAGTTAATTGAATTTCAGAGGGGGGAGTTGGGGAAGGAGCGCTTGTACTGGTTATGACGTGGCACAGTTGTTCTTCTAGGAAAATGGACGTGTGTGTGTTGGAGAGAAGAAAAAAGACCCACATTTGGGGCTTGTTGGAAATAGGAAAGAGAGTTGGGTTGCAAAGAATTGGCCATCTCCAAGAGACGCCGATCAATTATTGAAAAGCCCGACCTCTGTTTTTCTTGCTTTGCCGTTTTGAAATATTAAACAGGTTTTTAACTGGGCCTTTCCAACACGGAGATGAGAAGGCCCTGGATTTTCAGTGTCAAAAACTTTCTAGCGAGATTAAGGCAGGGAAATTCTCTGCTAAACACAAGATCCATTTTGCTGAGAATGGTTCAGCATTATGACGTTTGCCTTCCTGGGCCGCTCCCTCCATAAAAGCAATAGCATTAAAAATGATCTATGTTTTTTCAAAACTCGCTTCGCATTTTTACAGAGATGTCGGCCGCAGGTCCTCAAGTCAATCCTTTATTGCAGCGACCCAGATTAAATCAAACTGACTACATAAAACCTAGAGAATACAGCTACAAAGCAGACCAGAGAATATAAAATAAAGCACGCAAGATTTCAAAATGTACAAAAACTTGCCCGGTTTTGCTCTCCGCAATCGGCAAGTTTTACAAGCTGCGAGAACCAGCTTTGCAACGGTGAGCAAGGCCTTGGGGCCCTTTTTGGTGTTAATTAATAAATATTTATTTGCTTTCGTGCCTTTTAATACAAAGCAGGCAAGAAACGCCCAACGTTTGAATGTGCACCCGGGATCTTATATCGTACGGTGACGATATTTTCTTGGAAAAAATGAAGGACAAACTGAAAAATCTGAAAGAGGTTCATCAAGATAAGAAAAAAATAAGTGTTTAAGTTTATAACGTTGCTTTACAAAGGAAAACCCAAGAGCAAAACCAAGAAAAAACGTTACAAAATGCATATGTGCATAAAAATATTTAAAATCAAACAGGATAAGTACGTGTATTTTAAAAAGACAATTCAATACCCCTATTTTTCACGTGAATGTGAAACGGTGCATTTGTATGGGAAAAGTTAAATGCCCCAAATGTAGGACAAAAGTGAGTTTTTGAAAAATAAATAAATCTAAAGGACAGCTTTCTGAAAGAAAGGATTATGGTCCCTGGACAAGTTATTGGTGCAAGTTTTTCAGTAACTTCGATGACACACCGCAGACATCGTAATTAATTGGCAGCAACGGAAAGCTATTACAAAAATAATATGGAACATATTTCTCTGCAAAAATGCACTGGTGATCTGCCAAACTTGATGGTTTTTCCCCCCCAAATCCACCCATAAACCTTGCTGCTCCCCCAGTGGGATTTTTGCACCCTCAAAGCTTCTGTGCATGCAAGCGGAGGAGGAGGAACTTCTTCTTCTTCCTCCTCCTCCTCCTTCTCCTCTTCTTCCTCCTCCTCCTCCTCTTCCTCCTTGAAACCCCAGTGGGAAAAATTGCCAAAATTCTCAATTCTCCGTGATCGTAATAAAGATCGGATTGATTGACTCAATCGCTTTAAAAAAGAGGAACTCAGTGCTTACATCTTTGAAAATCTCTGTTTCTTCTTCCAGTTCTGTCAACGCCCAGACCAAGAATGGAGCAACTCCTCTATACTTAGCCTGCCAAGAGGGCCACTTGGAAATTGTTCAGTATTTGGTCAAAGATTGTGGGGCAGACCCTCACCTACGCGCCAACGACGGAATGACGCCTCTCCACGCCGCGGCTCAGATGGGGCACAACACCATCATTGTCTGGCTGGTGAGCATGGGGGACATTGGTGGGGCCAGGAGTCAAACAAGACAGCTTTACTTGCCATAATTCACACACACACACACACACACACACACACACAGAGTACACACACAAGAGCCATTACACTGGGCACAGCTGCCAACAATGAGCAATAAATCTTGACTTTCCCCAAATTCCCTGCATTCAGTGACTACCTAACATAGCCGTCATGGCAGGGAGATGTGATGCCAGCTCAAGAGTTTTAATCCCAATTTTTTCCTGCTGACTTTTCGAGTTAATGGCCATTTGGCTACAAAAGTTAATTGCATTAATTGCCCCTGTTTGGGCTTGGTGCAATAATGCTATCATAAGCTTTTGCACCCCTGGCACTGAATGCCTAGGCCAGTGTTTCTCACCTTGGCAACTTTAAGATGAGGGGGACTTCAAGTCCCAGAATTCCCCAGCCAGCCATGGAATTCTGGGAGTTGGAAGGAAGGCCTGGAAGGTTGCAGCGCGAGAAACTGCCCAGCCCAGAATACAAAGGATGGACGATGCCAGCAGGATATAAATATTTGGAATTATTGCCTTTAGCAGGCTTCTCTCCAGATGGGTAAGGCCCCCCCCGCAACTCTGCTCATTTTTCTCCCTCTCGCTTCTAGATGAGCTTCACCGACATCAGCCTCTTGGAGCAGGACAAGGACGGGGCGACTCCCATGCATTTCGCTGCCAGTCGGGGCCACGCCAAAGTCCTGAGTTGGCTGCTCTTACACGGAGGGGAGATTGTGGTGGACAAGTGGGGGGGCACCCCCTTGCACGACGCGGCAGAGAACGGGGAGCTGGAGGTGAGCCTGCAGGCGGGGCGGCCGCTTGCAAAAGATCACCTCTTGGTGATGTTTCCCCCCAAGGAAGGATCGGAATGAGGTGGGGGCGCAGTGGGGCAGGAGGTGCTGGGTTCGGTTTGGCTCAGCTGATGTGGCCCTTGCAAGTTGCTCTTTCTCTGCTGATGAGGAGAAAACCCCACCGGTTAAACCCTAAATCTGGGTTAAGCATAGGCAGGCGCTGCGTCCCCCTCACCCGAATCCAGCTCTTTATTCGGGACTCCCGTGGCTCAGCCCTCGCAGTGTGCAGAGTGGACCCGGCCTTATTTTAAGGGTGTCCAGCGCCTTGGGTGAAATGCCAGCAGCCCTAGACAACCAACCCCAATACCTCGATGTGGAAACGCTTCGACCTTTTCTTTTATCAGCTGCCGGAATGGTTGGGGTTAGTCGTAGAAACCCAGAAAATGGGTTAGTTCGGGGAGGCCTTTGGGCAGATCCACTGGAATGGATCAATGTCCGCCCAGAAACCTAGGGGAGTGCCCCTTGGTGAGTTGTGGGGCTCCCAGTCATAGGATGCTAGAACGGGAAGGTCGGAAGGGGCCACCGAGGTCATCTAGCCCAACCCCCACCCGGTGCAGGAATCCAAATGGGAGGGTCAGAAGGGCCCACCAAGGTCCTCTAGTCCAGCCCCAGCTTTGGGCTCACCCGTGTCCTCTTCTCCCCTCAGTGCTGTCAGATCCTCGTGGTCAACGGCGTCGACCTGAGCCTCCGGGACCAGGACGGCTACACCGCGGCTGACCTGGCCGACTACAACGGCCACCAGCAGTGCACCAAGTACCTGCGGATGGTGGAGAACATGGTGCAGATCCACGGCGGGGAAAGCGGGTGGGGCTCGCCCACGGGGGGAGGAACAGGGCTGGGATGAGCGCCGATGAGCGTATTGGGCATCGGGAGGGGTTCAAGTTGCTTCCGGTTTATTCCTCATCCAGCACGGTGATTTGAGCTAGTCCTGGGCCGAAAAACACGGGGTCTTTCCCCAGATCTGGACAACCCAGAGATATAACCCTTCTTGCCCTTTCTGGAGGACCAAGTCCAGTTTGGGCCTCTCCCGCATGTCTAGACGATTGATTGATTGATGGAATAATTGATCCTGTGCCATCCAATCCGTGTCCGCTCTTAGCAACCGTGTAGACAGACGAATCCATAGGCTAATGGTCTCTTCTAATTTAACTGGGTGGGGGTTTTTTTTTCCTCCAGAGAAAAGAATAGGCAGAAATGGGGTCCTGATGGGAAGAAGAACTGACGCTAAAGAGAACGAAGGGT